TATATATATATATATATATATATATATATATATATATATATATATATATATATATATATGTATATATATAAACGAGAATATAGGCAACAGTTTTTTAGTTTATGTTGAAATACACACATGCACGCAGCCACGCACCCACAAACATGTTGAAATACATTTATGTTGTTAATAAATAAATAAGAATAAAGCTTGCAAAAGGTGAGAACCTCTGCCTTAAAGAGTAGTTGAATGCAGTGATGTTATGTAGTTGCAAAATACAACATATTAATGTTTTATTGTCGAAAAAGTCAACGTAGGTGTCTTTATGAGCACAAACACAGCATATGGGCTCTTATATGCTGTTGTGTCATCACTTATATTTCAAGTCAGATCTCTCTGGCCCCTCATTTATAATGCTTTTCATGAAGTGCCCCCCATGACAAACTAATTGAATAGCCCTGCAATATAGTTTAGAATATTTCGGCCCATGGCTCTCAATGCTATTTGGTTTTTGGCCCTTTATATGAAAAAGTTTGGGCACCCCTGATTTAGGGTGACAATAGCATGGCAACACAGGATAGTTCATGCGATTAGTTAAAACTGCTTGTTTCTCTGGGTTTTAACATTATTTTGAAACATTTGGGATAATGTAAGTACATAAGTCACCAAAATATAACTGTTCTAGTGGCTGGTTAAAAAAAAACCTGATGAAAAGTGAACACCACATGCTGAAATTGTAATGAATTCTGTGGCAAACTGTGTAAAATGTTGTTACATAACATGTTAGAGCGACAGTGAGTCTGGCATCTTTCTATTCTATTCTTTGTTTCCTTGTATATTTATTTGATGTTGTATGTAGCTGTTTCTTAGGTGAAGCAACCTTTACAGTTACTTTCAGTACTAAACTTCCTACTCTTTATTGATGTCTGCCAGTTTTAAAGTGCTCTCAGTGTTGGAACTGTTGGATAACTCGGTTGGACTCCAACCATATCTTATGTAAGCTCTTTTTGCATCATTACAGAGAGATTTTGCTGGCTTTATATGAGCAGCTTTAAGCTGTTTAGTATGATGCAGTGTTTCTATACTGACGTGAAGAACAGGATTACTTGCTTGTATCCTCAGTCTGCAAGTTGTTCCCGTCCAGCGTGGCAGAAGTAATGACTGCTGGGATGGAATGCCTTATGATGATTGCATTGTGTTCCTTGTGATCGCTGAACCATTTCGTTCATTCAGCAACAATTTCTCTGCCCGCTTACTTCAGTCAAGGGTCAGAGTTGAGCCCTTATTATGCTTCTTTTAGCATGGCTTTTGGAATTCAAATGTTTTGAATAGCACATTACTAGAATACACAGTATGCGCAGTGTTAAATATTACAGTAAATTTGCAGTTTTCGGACCAGGGGGGCCCAAATCGGAGCACTCACTCTGGTCCGCTCTGCGCTGGTTGTGGAAGCTCCAAATTGAACCAAAACAATCCATTACCATTGGCTTAAGATTGGCAAGCAAAATTCAGGACATTGCAACCTGTAGAACCTGAGAACTTAAAAAAAGCAGCTTTCCTTGATTCATCTTTTTATTTTTGGTGTATTTGTGCTTTTGAATAGCATTATGGGTTTTTCATGTTTCTTCTAACAACTTTTAACCTTGAAAAGTTAGAAAAAGTGACTTTAATGACATGTTTAATAGTTGGGTTGGTGTTCTAATTTATGGTACAAAAAACTTGTAATAAACTGCCAGTACATTTTCTGTTATTTTACAGACTTATATATATATATATATATATATATATATATATATATATATATATATATATATATATATATATATATATATATATATATATATATATATATATATATATATATATATATATATATATATATATATATATATATATAT